AAGATTGCGAAAAAAGAATTATTAAAAAAGCAAATAAAGGCGGCGAGGACATCTGGTATGCGATTTTACACTGGAGAAACACTCTTTACAAAGAATCTTTAGCAGAAGAACTCGGACAGGAATACCAGCAACATTGCTTTTTTATTATGAAATAGATTGCTTCTAGGATATGTTTTGCATCTGGAAAGAATCTGCGTGCATGCGAAGTGTATGCGGACAGAGAAAGGTGGTATGAGCTATGTAGTCAACGTGAATAAACTGTTCTTTATATAAATTGTAGTTATTCAACTGATTTGGGGCCAATAAAACTGGAAACCCACGAAGTAATGTCGATGGTGTAACGGTTAGCGAATCGGGCTGTTATACCGAAGTTGGCGGGTTGATTAAAGCCGATTGAAGCCGTGGATTTTTAAGGGCGAAAAATCCTTCGTACGCCTTCCTTCGGAGGGGAAGTAAAGCTGGCTGTCCCATGTTAGTAGATCTACTTGCATGTAAAGGATCGAGCCCTAAATGACGCCTCTGAGCTAAATTCAAGTCGCCTGTTCGTCGTCCAAAAAATACCTCCTTCGCCGCTAGCTAGTGAGAGGAACATAGCGAAATTTGCGTGGTCAGACCGAAGAGCGGGCCTGATGGCCCGAGTCTCGCCACGTAAAATAAGGCATTCAGTTCAATTCAAGTAACCACCGGACATACTTGCGGCATAGTCGATTGTCCTCTACACTTGCAAATATCAACGTTATCTTCACATAAGTAATTCAAAACCTGAGTAGCAATTTATTTTCCAACATTATTTTCCAGTTCTAAAAATGTTTAAAAAAAAAACATTCTAATGGCAAAATCCATCTGACAGCAATACATGTATTATTATGACCCACAGTTGGTCAACGTGGGATAGATCAGGTAAATTGGGATCAGGTAATCGACGGGCAAACTAAAATATCCCGATACCCTTATTTCATCCAAAATCGTAGAGCTTACTTATTAGTTCATTAAACTCTTTTAATATAGTTTTCGACAAGTAAGGCACACTTCCTGTAAAAATAAAAGAATTGGGAAAAATTGTTAAATCCTGTAAGAAATTGTTATTATGGGAGATTTTTTAGTTCAAAGATATGACTACCTTTACCACAATTTCCATAATTTGAAATGTGCGAGTCCAACAATGGATGAAATTTGGCGAACAGTTATAGCAATCCCAAATAATTTCCATTATTGTCGGATCTGAAATTATCGTTTGACCCTCGGAAAGGTAATTCTCGTTCTGCTAACATTTGAATGACGACTGCAAGACATGACGCCAGTATTTGACCCCTTCTCGAACAGGTTTTGTTCAGTTTCCCTGGTCCCTTGAGCAAATGCTGAGATGGCCCCTTGTTTGCTTCTGAACAGTAATGTAACTTCACTCTCTCCACCCAAGACATGATATTGACTCGTCATACACTATTGTGATTGTATATGTGACTCAATAAATATTGTTGTTATTATTATTATTATTATTATTATTTGAGTTTTTCCTCGATTTGATCATTTAACTGTGACTTCAGTCCATTTTTTTCTTCTTAGAGTCAAATCATACTTCACAAGATTATTTCTGTAGTATGTATTCTCACTTCTAGGCCAAAATATGCAAGCATTGCCTCTCTGTGATTCTGTAAATTTTCATGTTGATCAATGAAACTCTTTATTACGCCAGTCACTAAATCCGGTTACAAATCGCGACAGGATATTTGAAGGGAAACGTTTACATGTTAAGCAATACACCGAATGATTTGATGGAGAATACAGCATCCGCTCTCAAGTGTACTTTTCATCATTTGCTTTTTTATTATGAAATTGATGGCTTCTAGAATAGATGTTTTGCATCTTGAAATGTTCTGCGTGAGTTTTCAAATGGTTCTGAATGATGTTGACAATTTTGTGGTCTTTGATTTATCCAGTAGTTGGTGTCATCTGCTTTAAATGCACTCCACCGGCCAGAATTGTCAAATATCTTGATTAGCAAAATTTTGAATTTCTGGATTTTAATTGTTATTGACAATAAGCGCTTGATCCGGGATTTCGTGCATTGTTGTCTCCTCTGCCGCATCCTCCACACTATCAAGAACATTTTGTAAGGTTAAAAGTGATGCAGATGGTTGAAGAAACAAAGTTATTTTGAGCAATTTCTTTATGATTTCCTCATCTTTCTGTCTCTTTTCCTCGGCTAGTTTTCGTTTTTTGAGAACCACTTGTGTGATTTCTCTTCGTATTTAATTTTGATTAGACACATTAAATCACCTACAATAAAATTATTTATATTATAGATGGACATTTGCAATGAGTGCGAAATTGGATAAAAATGATTTAATTTAGTAAAAATGATTTTATTCAAAGATTTACTATATTGGCCAAAAGGAGGTGAAATTATATTTTTGAGTTTTATGTGTGTAGAAATTACGAAAGAAAGCACAAAATTACCCCCTTAGAGTGGGGAATTGTAACAACTTAAAAAAAATCATATAATAGTTGCAACCAAACGATAAATTATTCCTCATGATTTGTCAAGAAAAGTTAAATCTTTCAAACCATAATATCATGTATGCTCTACATTACATAATTTTTGAGTTGTATTAAAAAAAAAACTAAATAAACGGCACAAAGTTATGGTATTTCTACAATATGACATCGTTATCGGAAACATTGACATCTCATAATTTTCCTGACAAATCGTAAAGTCCTTTATTTGAAGTTAAAATTTCACTTGCCTCAGGGCTGTGTCAAAGTAATTGGCGCCCTTGTGCAAATTTTTGTTGATGTTTTGAATTTTGTTACACAGATTTAATTTAGCGTATACAGACATAATTTACAATATATATGTGCATACATAATTTAATTAGAATTACACATACAAAATACTAACACCCATAGCATTCATATTCAATTTATTTTACTACAAGTTGTTTTGCGAGATTTCAATTGCACAGTCTTTGACTATTTTGTTTATGTCAATACCGTTGCAAATATCTTTTTCTATTGGAATGATGGATAAATCGGATAATCTTTCCTGGTTCATAGTTGATCTTCAATAATTATTCATTAGCTTTAATTCAGAAAATGGCCTTTCTACACTTGCTAATGCCATTTTGCCATTTGTAACCGTCCAGTGGTGCCTCTATCTATATTGTAATTATTTTTACAGCTATTATTTCTTTTACCTGATATTCAAAATCTCTGGTTAAATTTTAATATTAATCTTTCCGGCACAAGTGACATTGACACTGGAATATTTGTATTAGGATTGTGAGACTGAAGTCCCTGTACAGGATAGGGAAATTATATTTATCATTATTTTCTTTGTTTTGGTAATGGGAGGGGAAATAACCTTTCGTGATCTATAAACAAAACAATAACAACCACAACAACAACAACCACAACAACAACCACAACAACAACAACAACAACCACAACAACAACAACCACAACAACAACAACCACAACCACAACAACAACAACCACAACAACAACCACCACAACAACAACCACAACAACCACAACAACAACCACAACAACAACAACCACAACAACAACAACCACAACAACAACAACAACAACAACAACAACAACAACAACCACAACAACCACAACAACCACAACCACAACAACCACAACAACCACAACCACCACAACCACCACAACCACCACAACCACCACAACCACAACAACAACAACAACAACAACAACAACAACAACAACAACAACAACAACCACCACAACAACAACCACAACAACAACAATCACAACAACAACAATCACAACAACAACAACCACAACAACAACAACCACAACAACCACAACCACAACAACCACAACCACAACAACACCACCATAGGCAACATTCAAATATATTTAGCACCGTTCAATTCAATGATACAGTTTATTTACTCAGTGGTATTAATCTGTGCCGTCGCCACTTTCCTGTGTGACGCTGCCAATAAAAATCATAACACAAAACAAGAAATACCCTTTAACACAATAACAATGAATCTAACTGCACATCATACTTAATACAAAGTAATATTTACAAAATTCTCATTTATACTGTGCACAATATTAGTTTGTTGGCCATCCACATTATTTCAAGGTATTTACCAAATTTATTACAGTTCTTTGCCTTCTCATAAATATAAATTTTGTACGCATGAGGTAAGATCTAGGGATACCCACTTCCTTAAACATGATGCTGCCGTCAGCCCGTGAATTCGCTCCATCCACCATTTCACCATATCATTCTGTCACTGGGGCTGGCCATTTCCATATTACCACATTTCCTATGCATTTCTACACAAAACCTAAATACATTACTTCCATTGAATCACAACTATCTAATTACTGAAGTCGGCACACACTCCAACACGCCTTCTCTCTGATAACTAATTTCACTCTCTCCAAAACACGAAAATTTCCAGCACGTGCTACACCACGTTGTAAGCTCGGCACCTATCATCCCTATGTGTCTCTTCCAGTCAGTCATGTCTTTCAATAGTTTTTTCAACAAAACAAAAACGCTCGCTTTCCTCTGTCATGTAGATCTTTTGGAATATTTTATATTTTCATTACTTTATTGTATCTTTTTATTAATCATTGTGTCGAGTCCAAATGGACTGTCACATGTTGTTTGTGTAAGAAGTATTCTCAATGCTGTTGTTACATTGGGAAAAGTTTCTAAAAAATTTTTGACGTATAGCATGTATTGTAATATTTTTGTTTTGGGGAAATTTCATTTTGTAACAAATATTAAAACTGTATAAGAAAATAAGAAAACTTCAATTGTATATTTATTTCAATAAGCCTGTATGATTTCCAAATTTTATCATTTTTTATCTTGTTCTGAAAAAGATGTAAAAAAGGTGATCTCAACAATGTTTAATTTAATTTGTATTCCTTTTTGTAATTTTATCTTGTACTCCTTTTTGTTATTCGACTTTTTCAAGTTATTAATCTGCTGAATGTTCCCCTTATAGTTCTAGAGTTTCCTGCACAACAATTGATGAACAAGTAACGTTCCTTGGTGCTGGTGTAAACAATAGCATCAAACTTTGGGGCCTTTCTCGGAAAATGGGCTGTCACTCAAAGTATTCATCTATCAGTCTGCGAACACCAATGGCACCACTGGCATCTGAAACTGAAATACTGTGGTATGTTGCTTGTGGCTTCTGACAGTTATTCCTAAGATTACCATTACTGTTATTTCCACCATCACCAGTGATATTTGGCTTTCACTCCTGGAATTCAAGAGGTGGGAAATATTCAGTCTTGTTGCATAAGAAATGATATTTCTATCACTCCTGAGAATGGATTTGTAATTTAAGGGGCCCGCTAATAATATTGATGTATTAAAACATGTAAGCAAAATAGACAAAAGTAACAATTTCAAAATGTAATAATAAAATAACAAATTAAATTAAGTAATAAAAGTACATTGAAAAAATAATTTAATGTTATTTCTAAGAATTACATTTCCTAAAATAATTCTCATCTACATCTTAGTTCAGCAAATTCTTTCATTAGGTCATGAAAAAATGACTTTGAACGAATGCATAAAGTTCAATGCAGAATAAAAAATATCTCCTGAAGCATTTTAGCCTTTAATGCATTATTTATTCTTTTCAATCAAGAAAATGTACGCTGAGCAAGCAGTAATTGTAAGGATTAGAAAAATTGCAATTTCCTTGTTTGACATTAACTGAATTGAATCTTGCACATATTCTAGTGTAATAATCAACGAAAGTTTTTGTGTGTGTGTGTTTTGTTTGTTCCCTCAAGATATGGCTTGTTTAGCTATAGCTAAACTAAGTTTATATGTAGATCTGATATATAATGTAGATGTTGTAAATCATCTTGGTCGTTATAGCTATTGTTTCTTTAGCCTACCATTGTCCTGTTCCATGCCATGTTCCTTTAGACTACTTATACGTGCCCCTCTAGATCGCTTAAGTTCTTTTGTCAGTTACTTATAATTAATTTTTTGTTCCACATTGTGTTACAATATCATAAATATATTACAATATCATAAATATATTACGATATCATAATATTATTTATGAATATATTTATCAGTTGAGATCTCTATTCACATATCAATGGGCGAAAACCAGAACAGGATAATTGACATTTTATAAATGCAGAGAGATCTGTTTATTTAAGTCAATATTATGGTAAAGTCATGGTGCTTTGTTTCATCATTAAAATCACAAAAATACATTGCCACTGAAATATAGTCTAAAATAAACATATTTTTGTATCAGAATTTATAAAATGCCACTTCTACCGTTCTGGTTTTCACCCATCATATATTCATCGTGCTGACATATTTTTGCTTAAGTAACCTGATACCCAGAAATCTGTGCATAAATGCAGAAAAGTGAATACATAATACAGCTGTGAAATTGTTCTAGCCCAGAAAAGCATGCTATTACTTTGTATGGACATGCAGGACCGGTTCAGGACATAGCTTTTATACCCCGAGCCACATCTCCAGGGGTCCTGGTGTCTGTCTCTCAAGATGCCACAATGAGAAGTTGGAGGCTTGATAGCTATGAATGTGCTGCATCATACAGGTAGGTTGCAGCAGTTGTCTGCGTTTGTTGCTGAATATTTCATTTTTTTTTTTTTTTTTTTTTTTAATTGGTGACAATTTTCATGATAATTTTTGGTAAACATGGTAAAAAAAAATATTTTTTCTCAAGAGGCCACAATCATGAGATTTGGTGTTTGGATGTCAGTTCACTTGGACTCTTTGTAGCAACGGGATCTCGGGATAGAACTGCTAGAATATGGTCTTTGGACAGAAACTTCCCACTTAGGACATGTGCTGGGCATCATCTGGATGTAGAAGTAAGTGTTGAACTCAAAATCTATATAATATAAATATGAAAGAATTGAAAGAAAAGAAGTCGTTAGAATTTTATTTATTTATTTTTGGTCCCTTTACTTCTAAACATTGCAATTGTCCTGTAACTTAGAATAATTAAAGGTTCCTTGAACAACATGTAATACTGGGGATATACCAGTGGTGGCTCGTGTGAGTTTCTTAAAGAGGATGAAAGAGATCGATGATAAATAGAATTGCTTTACATGAAAAGTGCAGCAAAGTAGTGGTGTAAATACAAATACAGTGTCTATTACATTGCACAAAAAAAGTTGGTTTCGCCTAACTTGTTCATTCTGCTTTGCAAGAGAAGTTCTGGCTGATGAGATTTGAAACTCAGCTACTCACAAGAGAAAGCATCTTCAATTATTGAAAAATCAAGGTATTTATGTGAATATTGGTGTATGAAATTGTTATCTCTAAGGTATTTATGTAAGGGTCTTGGTGTCATGATTATGGATGCTATATATTACAGACAAATATAAGGGGTCAATGAAGCAAGCAATTCATTTAAAAGGAGTCGATGAAAGGAAGATTGTGAATCCCTGTGCTAGATCTATGCAATATTTTTAGTGTTAATTTTAGCACACATGGCATATCACAAGAACAATTTGTCTTTTGTTTGCATCCTGTAAGCCAGGATGCTTTATTACACAAGATCTTAGAAAAGTGCAATTTCTCTTTCTTGTGAGGAGAGGTCTAATCCCTTTCTTTCAAAATGGAAGAAACTGTGAAAATTACTGAGGAACAAGTTATTCAGTGAGAGCTACTCCATATTCTGTTAGCAGGTGTGTAAAACTTGCAGTAACCTTCTCCTGCAGAATAAATAAAGTTGAGAAAAGAATAGACTTTTAATTATATTTAAACAACACAAAAAATGTGAATTTGAAGTAGAAATGGCAAACTTCATAGTGAAGTTGGGAGTTAGAAAAGGAAGATGTATATCATCAATACTTTCCAATTTCACCTGGTTGCTGGTTTCAAAGTAGATAAATGTATAGATAAAACTTTTAGATGTATTCACTTGATAATAGACATATTGGTTAGTGCTGGTGAAGAGGCATTCATTGAAAATGAGCCACAACAAAATACTCCCAAAAGTTTTGATCAAGTTAACAAAGTGTATTTCAAATCAGTAATATGCAACTTTTATCACTATATAATATTATTCTAACACTAGATATATTCTAAAACTGTGTTATATGTATCTTAACAATCATGTAGAAATAATGGACTGATGAACTCAAAATTAGTATGATTTCTTTTTCAAAGTTGTGAGTAAAAGGTATTTTAATTCCAAATTTTTGGTTCCGGCCAAATGTATTTAAATCCTTTGTCATAGACAGATTTTTGTAGTCCTTATTTTTACATTGGAAGAAATCAAAGGAATATTAGCATTTTATTACCGAATATTAACACCTTTAAATAATGACATTCCAATTAATAATGTTTTGAATATATTTTTATCCAGGTTTTCTGACTGTAAATCCCTAAAACTATTATTAAAGAAATTACGAACATTTTCTGGGTATTTTTTACCTCTTAATGTATCTTGATCTGGAAATTATAATTAAAAAATACGGAAGTAATATGTAGAGATGGTAGATGTTAGCAATTGCCATAAATGCCTAAGTGTCACCAAACCCTGAAAAAATTAGCAGTTGTATGTTTGATGGTCGGTGAAGTACGTTTCTGAAGATTTTCAATCTGCGAAATCGCTCATAAAATGTGAAATCACAAACGAAGTTCGAAAAGGTCATGAATCTGTGATATAATTGCTAAAAGGTATTTTATGGTTTCCTTCGTGTTTGCTAATAGGGATGCGATATCGACGACGCATCGATGTTTGAAAACGTAATTGGAGAGTGGCTATGTTTATTCATTTATAATGAAGATTAAACTCAATAGCCACAGCACTTCTTAATCGATCACAGACTGGTTGCGGCATTTGCAAGATCTCGCGCGCGCAGCCATTGTTTCAACAGATGTTTTAATGTTCGCGTTTTAATCCTGCCATTTTCAAGTAGCAATTGCAGCTCAAGCTGTTCATGGTAGGCCGCTGAAGGCTCCTTCCAACTCAAGAGTTCATCTTGCCATTTATTTTCGGGCGTCCTACTTCCCGATATTTAAAGGGATTAATATTGTATGTTATTTTTGTTAATTTTGAGGTTTAAATTCTGTAAATATGATTCGCCCATTGGTGTTTATAATCTTTAATTTTGTCATTAAGGTTAAGCATGTTTAGGATGGAACAAAATCTGCCAGAGCATGTCCAACATTTTAGTAAACTTCTCAAGAAACGCTTTTTTGATGATTACATTCTCCGTTTCTCTGCTCTGTTCAGTGACCAATACCATACATCAAGACTAGTATTGCAATAGATTTATAAAATATTTACAATCTGCCTCTTTGTTTTTAAAATCCATTTAATGGTTCCACAAACATGTTGGAATTTGTATAACCTATGTTCTTAATCGATGTCATTCAAAAAGGAAACAGAACAGCCCAGATAACTGAGCGTGTGTACTTGTTCGGTAGTTTTGTCATCAGAACTAGTTTTTAACCAACAGGATGCTTTCCAAGGAAAGCCAGCCCTTTCCCTGGAGAGCGCGAGTGAGAGAGAGAGAGAGAGAGAGAGAGAGAGAGAGAGAGAGAGAGAGAGAGAGAGAGAGAGAGAGACAGACAGACAGACAGACAGACAGACAGACAGAGAGCGCGCGCGAGAGAGAGACAGACAGAGAGACCGCGAGTCTGTCGCCCAGTCCGAAACACCTACTACTGTCCGATGCACTGTCGTGAATTCACGGCGCTGATCAGGGTCCCCTGCACTGCTGTTCACCGCGATGCACACTTCACAGTTTAGCTTCCACTTCAGACTGACGTGAGCTGCATACTCACTGACTACATATCCTGACTGCTACTGCCAGCGGCCGCCAGCAGCGGCGAATTTATACCTGACTGGCGCCCCGTCTCGACACATCCAGGTCTTGCGCCACACTTCTAGGCGACTCGCGAATAACCCCGAACCGTCCAGTTGGGGAGGCGCCGGCTGATGACGCAATCCGCGCAGCGAATTCTGGCAGTTGATGCAATACTCGTTACATTATGTTTTTATGCTTGTGCAATGCAAATTTTTTGCCAAGAAAACATTTTTTCGCACCAACTTTTGAGTGCTTATTGCGGCTCACCCATTCAGAATATCCAAGTGTTTTATTAGACAGAATGTGCTTCTAATTGTCTTAAGCGCTTATTGTCAACGTTTCCTCCCCGGACAGATTCCCCGACCGATCTCTTGCGTTCCTCATCTCTTTAGTACAGTAAGCATGGCTGTTCTAGCTTTTTGCTCCCCAGTGTACGCGAGGACGATCACGGATATCAAGGTTTACTTCTGAGGAGACAGATAGCGCACTAAGAGCGTCTCAGAGGAGAGCTTTCGAGCTAAAGCGGGCAGTTGTGGAGAGCTCGCAGTATGCGCTGTGTGTGTAGTGGAACCACGAGAAGCAGACATTTAACAGTTGATGAAAGTAGTTTTGTTTCTGTGTGTTAATGTGTTTTTGTATCAGATTTCCAATAAACATTGTATTAATTAAAGTGCGATAAATACCAATCTCTCTCTCGCTCTCTCACACTCACACTCACACACAAAATATTGGGGAAGGTTGGACATTTGACGTACTCCTTGATTTATGCTCGCAGAAGTAAACTCAGCTGAAGCTAGCGCAACATATTGTATTGCTGCACTGCCGGTATCAGCGGTCGGCTCGTAAGCATAAGTGAACTGAGTAGCAAAGTGAGAAGTGAAACAGTCGCTAAATACAAGTGCTTGCGCGAGTACGAAAGTGACGCTCCTCGCTCCCTCGGGCCCGCATGAAGCCTCGCTTCGACTACCATCGTCCTAGAATCCATCTATGTCGCGACGAAACCACGCGTGCCGTTGCCTTATAGTACGCGCGTTGGAATTCGGGTATTTAAACTCTCAGGAACAGAAGCGCACATGTGTAGCCGTGATAAATGCCCCCAGAGAAAATCTATATCTGTCGTCGTGTCTTGTTTATCATCATGGGTTAAGCCTATTGGCTCGTTCGTCTTCAAGAGAGTTTTTCAATCGCCTTATATCGCTGTCCCTACATCTCTCGTTCGGGTTTAGTTGTAGAGATTTTTTCGGCGTTCGATCTTCCGGCATTCTTAGTGGCATCCGGATCATGTCTATTTTTTTCAGTTACGTTGAAGATTTTTAATTCGTCTCTGATGTGCGAGTTTTTTTTTTATGGTCCCGTATTGAATAGCCCGCCGAAGGTCTAAGAAATCTCACTTCGGCGGCTTCAATGTGACTCTTATCTGTTCTACTGAGGGTTCAATTTTCACTGCCATAGGTCATCATTGGAAGTGTCATTGTTTTGTAAAATTTCAGTTGAGTGCCTGCACGAGCTTTCTGAGGGTCTATCGAACATTTTCTGAAATTTCTGAATTTTTTTATTAACATCATTCTTTTGACAGTATAAAAAACTGCAATCGAGATAGTTGAAGTTATTTATTTGTTCAACACCGCTACCATTAATTACTATTTCACACCTTAAATATTTTTTACCCTGTAATGCCGTGGGTATGTGTAGTTTATTTCTGTCGTAATCTATCGGAGCCCATCCATCTTTTGGAACCGCTGGGCTCTGCGCAGCTGTTGCGCGCCCCTTCGTTGCATCGCATCGCAATGTACCCTCCTTTAGTAGTTTCCTGGCACCGACCCTACTCGAATTGGATACGCGTAAAGAAAGGCGACTGTTTCAGCCTCTTGGAGTTCCTTGTTCTTTTATTATACTCGGCTAAAATCTGGTTTCTGTCTGATGCGTCGTAATATTTTATTGTCCTATGTGTGTTACATCACACCATATTTACAGGGTAATGGAACAGAGTGAGCCATATCTATATAATTTGTACAACGGTAGCGTGGGGCCACTGTAAGGCAGTGGGCTGAGGGACATTCCTCCCTCGTTGGACACCCTAAGAGTGGGGGAGGGGATTGTGATATTGTTTCCATTTGAAGTTTGAATATTTCGATGGTCAGAGGAGATTTGTTCTAGAGTTGTTTTGATACTTACGCAGTAGATCTGAAGCAAACTTTTGCAGAAATTAATATCCAGCTTATACATTGCTTCATGACACTGATGTATTTTTGTGTGTTAATAAATAGATGTTACTTACAAATGTAACATTGTGAACATTGTATTTGATTTTTTTAAGTTCTTGATATTTCTTGCTGGAATTGCTGGCTCTTGTCTTTTGAATACATTTTGGGTCTGAATATGGATGTGATCTGATGTGTAATCCTTGTCAGGCCTAGCAATTGTATTTGTTTGCTTTCTTTTTTCAGTGTATTAAATTTCATCCCAATAATCTGTACTTTGCTACGGGTTCAGCAGACAAAACAGTGAAAATGTGGTCTGTGAATGATGCAAGGTTGTTACGATTATTTTTTGGACACACAAGTGCTATTCAAGCTTTAGGATTTAGCCCGAATGGCAAGTTTCTGGCTTCTGCTGGTAATATACTTTTTTTTTTTAAATTTCTTGTTTTGTTTCTATTGATTTCTAAAAACTTGGGACATACATGAGTCATAAGTTGTTAACATTTTCTCTGTAGTTTACTCTTACAAAAATGTATTTGCAAGGTGTACCATTACAAATTTAATAATTTATGATTATTTTTTAATAGAACTATCGGATTGTAAATAAAATTGTGGTGCAAAAACTAAGGCATAAAAATTTCTAATTTGAGAAAAAATAATTGATGTTCTCTTTTTAAATGGTTTTGTGTGTATATTAATTACTGTATAATGTGATGTTATATTTCTAACACTTTGTATGCAGCTCCACATAAAATCTTCTCTGCAAACCGATTTCAGTATTAATACGAGTGCCAATGTTTGGAGAAATTTAACACAACTTCATATAACTCGTCAGTGTTAATATTCTGTAAAAGACAATTTTCATTTATAAGTGAATATTGCTATCTCAAATTGAACACAAAGTTGAGCTCGTATCTTCGTAGTAAATATAGTGCTAAGGTAAAGTATGCTGTATTGAAGTAACCCCTGTTAATGAAATAATAAAATGAATCGTCATTGCCAACAATATTGTTTATTACATGAGCAGCTTTCGATGGCTTTAAATTTATTAGTCATCTATTTATCTTAATTTTGTTTTTTGACTCGTGTTTAAATGTTTTTCATTTCATGAACTAGAAAATAGATTATGGCTAAGCCATCGAAAGCTGCTCTCAGAATAAACAATATTGTTGGCTATGACTCATAATTATTTCATTGTAAATGCTAACAAAAACTCACCACAATACCAATAAATCCCTGTTGCTGCAATTAACTGGCACTTTGGTGGAACGCACACAAACATCATCTTTGTAACGGCACTGCTGAGCAAACACAAAGGGTGTTATCACTTATTTGTTTCATCCTGTATGACAACATATGTTTTAAATAATATCATATAAGGGTTCCCGCAGACTTAATAGTTTGCTGTGAAAAGGAACTCAAATTTCCACATTTTCACAAAAACCACTTCAAAAGTTCTTCTTCAAACTTGTTGTGAAAATGCGTTTAATGCACCATTTAAGATGACATAAAAGGCATGTTGCTGTATTATTTTGTTGTTGTTTTTTTTTTTT